CCCCGGCCTGATGCAGGAGGCCCCACGCGCTGGCATGGGGGCAGGGCGCCCCATCCCATGGTGAGAAAGAAACGGCGAATTTGCTGGTGTGAGGAGGGGGCGGATGGTTTTCCTACTTTCACTCTTACGCTGATAAGCCCCCCAGCGAGGGCGTTGCCCCATCCCAGCCGCAAACTGGGAAGGTTCCCAGAGTCTGAGTCCACCAGCTGAAAAAATTGGGGAGATGGGATAACAGGCGGACCTGGCAGAAGTCTTTTCCTGCCCCAAGAAGCGGCTAGGGGCAGGTGAGGGAGGAAGGGATTGGGTAAACACAAGCTGCAGGAAGACCCGGTAATTGTGAGGGTCACAGCTGGGTCAGAGCTGGGTCTTGTACCCAGGGGCTCAGGCAGTGAGAGTGTGCAGGATCCCAGAGAGGCCAGGGGGCGAGTGTCCACAGGACCCCCAGGAGAGGCCCAGCAGCTGTGAACAGCAGTGTTGTAGACCAGGGGCACGCAGATGTCTGTGCAGGGCCAGATGGAAAATATCTTCAGTTCTGCCGGCCATATCGTCTCTATTGCAACTGCTTGCTCTGCCGAGAGCACAGCCATAGACAAATGTGTCCCAACAGAACTTTAGTGACGGACACTGGGATTCGAATTTAATACAATTTTCACTTGTCATGAAACATTCTGTTGATGTCTTTTCAACCGATTTAAAATGTAAAAACCATGCTTAGCTCTGGACTATATCAGAATTGTCGGCTGGGCATGGTAGTTTGCCGATGCCTCTGTGAACTGTGGGGTGGTGGTGTTGCATTTGATCAGCAGAATCTTGAGTATTCAGCACAGTCCGGCACCAGTAAGAATAGTGAAAATGTAACAAGGCTCGTAAAGAACCACCTATTCATCATCTCTACAGCCTCTGGAGCCCTAGTGGCACAGTGGTTAAGAGATACGGCTGGTAACCAAAAGCTAGGCAGTTCGAATCCACCAGCCGCTCCTTGGAAACCCTGTGGTGTAGTTCTACTCTGTCCTATAGGGTTGCTGTGAGTTGGAATCGACTCGACGGCAATGGGTTTGGTTTTTCGGTAGCCTCTGAGAGTCTGCTAGTTGTACGGTTTATTCTGTTGGCCTCAGACTGATGATGTAAAACAGCCAGAAGACCGGGGCTGGTGGGGACCAGACTTCCCTGGCATCAGCCCTGGGTCCAGTCCAGGTGCAAACAAGATACCGGAAAGAGCGTGCTGTGCAGCTTTATGACAGACACGTCATCTGTCCCTGCCTTTCCACTGCTCTCGTCCTGTTTCTCCCTGTTATTCCCCACTGAGGTCACATCATCCTCCTAATGGCCACGCAGAGTTCCATCACAGCACTTCCTGCTGACTCTTCTCCCTCCCGCTGATTTGGCCAGATTCTTAGGAGTGGTCCTACCTGGCCTGGGGCGCGAGCCTGAGTCATCCGTGCACTTGCGTGGCTCTGTGCCACCCGGGGGGCCCAGAGGGAGCTGGCTGCACCCAGTGACACTTTGTTCACCCACCAAGGGAGCCTCCAAACAACCAAACCTCGGGCAACGCCTTGATTCATCCTCGCCCTTCCCCCACGGCTTCCCCAGCAGCTCGCCTCCTGGCATCTCTGGGACCCATCCCTCATCCACCTCCCATAATCCTGGTCCAAGGCCCATCAGCTCTCACCTGCACCCCCAGAAACCACCTGATGAGGGCCCGTTCACATCAAACTCCACAGTTCACTTTCTACACAGCAGCAGTGAGCTCACTTAAACACCAGGCAGACCATGCTTAAACCCTGCCTCCTCCCTTCCTCAGAAGGTTCTGCCCCGCAGCCCCTCCTGTCTCATGTCAACTCAAGCACTTTCCTGCCTCAGGCCCTTTGCACAGGCTGCTCCCTGGCCCAGAACACAGCTCCCTGCCACATCACCTCCGATGTCACTGCCTCAGGCCCCCTCACCCGCGCAGCAACCTGGCCTCCTCTCCCATCACGCTCCGTCCTGTAAGCTCTCCGTGTTCTTCACGTTTGTCGCCGTCTATGACAGCCTGTCATCATCTGTCTCCCTCCCACTGGAATGCACCTCCCCTGGGGACAGGGGACCTGCCCCCTCCAGAGTGGACCATCACAGCCCATGGCCACGCAGACATGAGCA